AATTCAGATAGCACCTCGGTAGTTTTATCCGGGGTGAGTTGGGAGCTTAATTGTATTCAATCTACTAGGACTTTTGTGCCTAAAAAAGCGTCTTAAAGTCTAGGACTGTCATAAAGTCGTTTTAATTTATGCTATGGTTTCGACTTCTTGTTCATATTGTTTTGTGCCCTCGAGCTACATGCTCATTTGGTTGAGATCATAGGGCTCATCTATTCCTCACAAATTCCCTGCTTTCGAAGTCTTAACTTGTACTGAGCCTTAACAAGCAGATGACTGACCATCTGCTTAATATGATTTGCCACTTTACGGCTGCTGAATTTATGCTGTGCCGTCTTTGGGCTTATTTAACTTTCTCTTTAATTTTCCTTGCTTAATCCGCTTGATTTTTGATAGATAGTTGGTTTCTTTGTATAAATTGTCTTTCCATTTTTGCCAATATAGTTCCCTTTTTATCCTTTCTTCATTTAATCATTCAAACGAGTTCATCTCACTACTCTCATTGGGTTTAGTTTGAGAGAAAATGTGTATCACTCGTTGCTCACTGTCAATTGGAATTACTATCAATCCGTGACTTTTGCATCCTATTTAGATATTTCTCAAATTATTTATCTTTATTGGTACGCCAGGATATCCTCACTATTTGATGTGCTGGAAAAAGCCTCCCCCGTGACTTACTTTAAAGATAATTTACTTTGCTTTGTTCATAGACGTTTTTTGCTCTAATAGTGCTGTTGCAGCTTATGAAAGAGGAGAGATAGAGAACGTTTTTCACCTTATGGGGAGTCAATTGAGTTTACTCGTAAGAAATACTCGTATTAATCATTAAAATTAAATTTTATTTTTGCATCCGCAGCGTAATTGATTTTGTCGTCGAGACCTTACGGACTTGCCAATTAACTGCGCACTATATGAATCTTGGCAAAGTCAATATAATGATTACGTGATTGGTTTTTGCAGGCTGCGTGTTCACCAAGATGAACCAAGCCGAACGAATACTGTTAGTTCCAGTTGCTTGTGTTCTGCGGCGAAGTTGGCGATGTTCTTATCCGATATCTGTTATAACTGTGGATATAAATCTTGTTTATTAAATACGTAAGTAGTTAAATGACTAGGATGATGAACATTTAGATCAATATTGATACTGGCGTTTGAAAAGGCGGGTGTAAGGGATTCGTAAATTGGCCTCACTGAATACTGGAGGGGCGTTGCCTTAGACTTTCGACTGTTGAATTATGCGAAGAAGACCTCGGCTCACCGTCCTGTGACGATGACTAAGTGATGAGTTTTCGTCCGTCATGTAGCGGACATCAGATCCAGACATTATTATCTACGAGCAATCACAAGAAACAACCAAGGAAGGTGGCAGGCTGAGATTCTACTCACTTATACCTCATTTTGTCATCTTGATGAGGCATTCCATCGTTTCGTTAGCTGCTTTAACCCTGTCCTACATGCATGTATGCGAATGAAGTTGATGCAGGAAGGGGAGCGAATGTGCTCACAACTTTCCTCTATTTTACTAAATTAGAGCAGTGTGTCCAAACGGAGCATACCAAAAATGTGTTTTAAATGCATTCTCCTATCTGTTGTGTTATATTCATCATGATATTTGTCTCTGATAATTAAGTCTCATTTTATGAAGACTCAGCGCAGGTACAACCTCAATATTTATTATCTTAGATGTTATCTTAAAATTATAAATAATTAAAAATAGCTTCCAAACCTCAATGTTTATTACATATTCGAAGTACCGTACACCCCATCATTTATTTTTGTGTAAAACGTATTTCAAATTTTACATAACCTGCGTTTTGGTTAAACACAATCATTTGTTGTTTGGGCCACTTACTGCGATGTCCTTGCAATATTAATTTACCTATGTAACTACTTTCACGGACAAACTAGCAATACCTCTTTATATACATAATAATATGCCGCTTTATGAATCGTTTTTTTCTTTTACGTAAAGGCGTGGTCATGGGCAATGCATTTCATCTATTTTTAGCCCTAAAAATTAACTGTTTAGCTTTATTTTACTCATTATTTATTTCTTTCGGTAGACAAAACTATACGTCATCAAGCCCTAACATCTTTCCATGAGGCACTGCGTGGAGATCTCCCGGCAATGGTGCTTGCTACACCAATTGATCCGCGTGGTGTTCAGTGGACCATTCAAGGGCCTAGTCGGCTGGGCCTATCCAATTTAAAGCATCTGGCCTGTCGGTCACACAGCCTCCTGCGAGCCATGGCCGTTGCAGGTGCAGATATTTTCCTAATGAAGGCAAGCGGTTGTTTTCCCCTTGAGTTTCTTATTTCGGCTCCTTTTAAGAACTTACATAGTGTAAGATAATTCTTTTTTCGAGCTATTCCTCTGAACTAAGTCAATACTCGAACGCATAATTCACTTTCGCTAAGTTTATGCTGCTTGAGCCATAATTTTTGCGGATTATTAAGAGTTCATTTTGAGCAAAGCCCAAGAATATCTCTTTAACAACTGTTGGTCATGTTTCTTTAACTGCTTTTCAGCCCTTTAAGTTCACTCGGAAATTTCAATCCTCATACCATGTTGTTAAACATTATACTTTATCAAGATCACTCCTCTAACCATTAGATTTAGCTCAGATGAGAGACTCAACTATAATAAAAATGTAATCATTATAGAACGCGATACATGCATGACTTGGTAAATTTGAATTGTTGCAAATCATTTTAGTATCCCATCACTTGATAATGTTATTGTTCACAATGTATTGGGATATCAGATAGATGTTGTTTTATTCGGAGAATGCTTTCTTCAGCAAGTCATGATTCGGACTCGTATTCAGATTTTGTGTCATCAGAACTACATACCCTCCTGACTACTTTAACGAATTTCCCTCCCCAATATTTACCCTCTCCGTTGACCTAAATTGGCCTTAAGTGTGTCTTGGTTTTAAGCATATTTTCTCTGCACCTCACTAACGCTAAGACTTTGTTGCCAAGTCTTCCATTTGTTTGGCTGTGGATGCAAATAGTACATTTTTAACACCTTTTGTGCTGATAAATTAACATACATCCTGGATGCGACGTAGGGTTAGTATAATTTTACATAATACGTCTTTGATCAATTAGGCGTAGCTCAACAATCGAACCTAATAGTGCTGCGTGGCGAACAGCTTAATCACATTAGAAGTCGTTT